ATGACATAAAATATATAACCACAATCAAAGCATTTAAAAAAACAGTGAAACAACATTTATATGTGACCAATAGAAACATCATTTTGTATTTTGAAGTCGTTTTTTTATGTATTTACTGGTGTATGTTAAACTCTTGAATATGTAAGAACTAATTTTATTCTTATATATTGTATTAACTTAAACGTGTAACTTAAAAAAAAAATCTACTAAGAATAATGTAAACTATTTCGCAATCAAAGAAGCAAGATGATAAGTCTTCTGCTTGTTTCTGTCAGAATTTAAAGAATTTATTTTATTTTTACAAGAACAATGTAAAATTACTAGTTTATTGACTGAACTAAATTGGATTGAAAAAACATAAAATATTTCTGCTCATTTAAATATCGCGGATGTTATTTGCAAAATCTCCAGATATTGTTAACAAAAAGTAAACTACAATAGAGTAGTTTAAAAATAAATCAAACAATTATTATTATTTATGGACTTCAGTTAAAGTTTAAATGTTTTTTTTTTTAATATAGCTAAATCAATTTTTAAAAAGTTTAAATTATAACAACGATACTTGGAATAGGTTTTAATAATTATAGATATATCTAGTGATAATATATTAAATGCTCTAACAATTTTCTTTATTTTATGAACTTTTTTTTTTCAGGACGCTGAGCAGCGTCTCTCAAACATACAACCATTGTTTAATTATCTAAAAATTTTAATGTTTACCATATAAAAATTTATCACCTTTTAATTTTTATGTAAAAAGTTAATTAAGAAACAATCTTAAATATTTTGAAAAGCTTATTTTAAAAAAAAAACAGTACAAATGTCCTACTAAATATTTAAATGATAGTTATATTTCAACACTCACTCTGAAACCACTACGTTTTCTATCACCACTAGAGGTCTTCAAGTATGGAATATAATTATCAAGAATGACTATAAAACGTTTGCAGTTTTAGATTAGTAATTTTTTAATTATCAACTTTTAACTGAAAAAAAAATCAATTTAGAATAATTAAAATACTAAGGATTTTTTTTACAGCCATATTTTTTTTACTACTACATTTACTTTACAACCATATGTATTAGGCTGCCATCAAAGTATCATATGGTTTATTTTCATTTTAAATAAAATGATTTAAGTTTTAGAAATTTTTGTTTCATTTTTTTTTTGATTACGTACATAAATATAAATATTTTCGTAAATTTTTTAATTTCCTAATAGTATGTTATATTAATAATTTGTTTCAGTACTTTTTTTTTCTTTTTTCAAAATTGTGCGTTTGTTTGTTTTGTTGGTCCTTAGACAATTTCATATTTAAAAACTTGCCTTCATGTTTTTTTTTTTTTTTTGGCGCAAGTCACTTTTTTTTTGGACTAATTATATACTCTATATATTTAGATATTACCTATATACTATACTCACTTTCTCTTTTCTCACCCAACTATTTTTATGTTAATATTACTCTTTTATATTTTCTATGTTAATACCATTATTGTGTTATGTTACACTCTTCTTATTAGTTTTGGATTTAGCATAATTAACTATGCCAATCTGATCAGAAGTTGTTTTGTCACACAAAATTTAATCAATTTAGTATTGCTTATTGCAGACCCAACCTATAGAAGTAGGAGGATTTTCCTAATTAGAATAGTAAACCCTGAAGTGATAGCTACAGGTAGAAGTACTACTCAGATAACGACAAGATACAATTACTGAAAGTCAGTTAACTGATTTCTAAAAAATCTAAAAGGATGTCAATTGTTAAACCTTTTTTAGAAAATATCAAATAATGATTTTGGCATAAATGAAAACCGTCTAACCACGCTAGCACACAAAATAGCACGTTAAAGCAATAAAAATTATATCACTATGACTATTTAAGAATTTTTAAGACGGTTATATGTAATTTGCACACAGTTTGCATATATATCAACTCGAAAACATTCTTCACATGTACACTAACTGCAGCTTAAACACTTTAGCCATTCTTCGTTTGCTTCTCCCCAAATAGCTGCACAAACACAACAAAAGTCTTTATAAGTGTGATTTTTTAGAATAAAACCATTAGATGAACTTGAGTGATCAGAATCAGCTGCAAAATAAGCCTTTTTTGTTTTTGTTTTGACTGATTTATCTTTTTTTTTTTTTTGACTTTTGTTTAACGCTGACCATATGTTTTATTTTTTTAGCAGGAAAATATTTTTCAACTTTAATGTTTACTTGCCATATTTAAAGAATAATCGAAGGAAAATATATAAAACCTTTATTCATTAATATTCTACAAATACCAGTTGAAAAAATACGCCACGGCCGCTGAATGTGCGGCCGTGGCGCAGTGGTTACAGCGCTTGCTATATAAGCAGGAGATCCAGGTTCGAAACGAACTCTGGGCAGATTTTCGCGTCACGGTAAGGAAGGAGGCGTGAACTTCCTGGTAAAATGCACTTTGGCGGTGCTCTGCGGCAAGACCGTTAGGTCTTCTTGGGGCACATAAATAACAAAAACAAAAAGAATTTAAAAAATTTACTTTTAAAAAGATAAAAAGTAATGGGTAATTCAAAGTCAAAATTCGGCAAAAAATTTTATTTTAAAGATGTAGTACACTATGGGCAATACAAAATTGATTAAAGTTCGTTTGACAAAAAGTTTCATTTAAAAAATCAGTATTTCTAAAATTGTATTTGTTGATAGGTTTTGGAGTAAAAATATCTTTAAAGACAGATAGAGATAAGACATTTTTCCACATTTATACAAAACATAAAACATTATTATATTTAGCTCATATATATTTAAAATTTCATCAAAATAATGTTTTCATGATCTACCAACTTCCTTTTGACCTTTTCAAGCTCAACCTAAAAAAAATGTATTTTTTCACTTGATGATTCAGATACTTCTAATTTTATGAAAACTGTTATACAACTTTGATTTTAGTTCTTTATTTTTTGCTTTAATTTTTAATGTTTTACTTGTCTTTATTTAGATTGTTTGTGCTTTATAAGTTTTTGACAACAAGATCTTGTGATCTTCTTTCACATCCTAGCTTATGTTTCATTGTTAGCAGTTTATGTATGTGCATTATTACATTTGTATGTGTATATATTCTTTTGTTTATATATGTAGATATTTATGCTTTTTATAATTTTATTTATGTTGATAAATGTTATAATATATTTTAATTATAACTCATATATCAATGTAAGCGAAACTAAATATATAATAACGGTAATATCTCTAGTTGGTTAAATGAATGGAATCGAAATGCATAAACAAATATAACTCATGTTACCATAGTTGCTAGTAATAAGTATTAATAGGAAATAATGGTTACTTTATAGTATTATGCAATTATTATTTTTTTTTCGATATTATGTAACTTTTTATTAGGTATCAAATTTAATTTTATTATTATTTGGAGCTTTTGTTTAAAAGTTTACATAGTTGGAGGCTTAAGTTGAAGTCGGATGTCAATTGACAACAGTAAAAGATTAGGAAACAACTTTTACAAATAATAAACCAACATTTTTTATTTCTCATTTACTGATATTTTACGAAAAAGGAGACGGAAGTTTTTATTGACTAAAAACTGATTGAACGACAAAAAAAATAGAATCAAAGGATACCTTTTTATAGCAAACTTTTGCATCAAATTTTTGCATGACAAAAATTATTTCTATTTATTGCATCACAAAATGTAAAATTGATTAAATTCTAAAAATGAGTACGTTTGTGTCTCAAGCTTTTTATTTAAAGTTTTCTGAAAGTTTGAATACCCCTCAGTGCTTGCCCCAAAAATCCCCACTATTATTTATTTGTTTATCTGTTGCACTTTAATGTTAAGGTGTTTTATTAAAACTCAGTAAAAAGTTCATTAAGTCAATTACGTTATTGTATTTCTTTTTTTGTTTTCAATTTTTAATAAATTATAATAATGTTTTGCATCAATAATTTATGCAAATAAATATTATGTAATATTAAAAAAAAACATCAACAAAAAATACATAGCTCGTAAATAATCTCGGTTAGCAAATTTAAATTCTCGTTTAAACAAACTTTATAAAAACACATTAAGATTTTTGTTTTTTCTTGAAATAAAAAATAAAAAATAAGACTTGAAATTAAAACAACACTTAACAACATTTTCATAATAATATCTACATATTTATAACGTTATATTTATACCCACATACATACATATTTATAACTATTTATCTATAAAGTTATTAACATTATTTGACAATATTTAACTATAAACATTTTGAAACCTGTTTAAACCTATTTAGCACTATTTACATATATATATATATATATATATATATATATATATATATATATATATATATATATATATATATATATATATATATATATATATATATATATATATATACTACTTTCATATATATATATGTATATATATATATATAAATATATATATATATATATATATATATATATATATATATATAAACATATATATATATATATATATATATATATATATATATATATATATATATATATATATATATATATATATATATATATATATATATATATATATATATATATATATATATATATATATATATATATATATATATATATATATATACACTTATGTATACAGCAACTGAAAAAAAATTTGAAAAGGAAAGAGACAAAAGATTTGTTTCTAATCATTAACACAGCCCACATTTACCACAGCCTTTATATATATGTATATATGCTCATATATAAGCGTTAACAACTATTTTCTTTATTTTTGTAATGATGTATTTAAAAACCAAATATTCTGGATAATATTATTTGTTAAAAATCCTTCTAAGCTTTTATAATTGACAACTACCAACTCTTTGTATCTTTTGTTAAGAATCTTCGGTATCTTCTGTTAAGAATCTACGGTATCTTTTGTTATGAAACTTTAAAGTTTTTGTTTATAACCGCATTCGCAAAACAATTTTGAGTTTTAGTAAAACTTTTTCAAAAGTTTTCAGTCATTTTAATAGTCTTTGATGCAAATAATAACTCAACTACAATAATCTTAATATAAAAAAATCATTAATAAATTCTTCATCTATTTAATAAATCCATTCATTTATTTAATAAATCCATTCATCTATTTAATAAATCCATTCATTTTCTAGAAAAACCTCCTATGCCTGTTTGTTGTCTGTAAATAAACTGGCAATAAACGATAATATCGATTAACGTTTATAAACGATACTATCGATTATAAACTTGTCAATGCTAGCTAGTTGGATAAAGATTTTCTTGGATTTTATTTGAAACTTGGTCTTGATCAGCCTAAAAATGATTATTTTCAAATATTTTTACTATGCAACATAACTGAGGGCTTGAGTAATAGAGAATTGTTTATATAAACAACAATAAGATAAAAAACGAACTTCAATACCTTATTTATAAGTCCATATTTTACAAGCTCTGCCGCAAGATCAACGCTGGTTTCATTTTCACTGACTTTACAAGTTAAATGTCTATTCATTTCATCGTCGAAACGAAGTAATAACGTAAGGTGCTTTTCCTTATCAATCATCTTTACCGAACACGAAATATGTATAATCTAAAATATGTAACGACAAATTCTAGCAACGAAAAATTCTAAAAATTAAAAAAAAGCATCAACTAGTTTGTTTTTTTTTGAAAAAAAAAATTAAAATATTGAATTTCCCCAAACATTTTATTCAATTTTCATATTTAAATAATACTTCATAATACTGAAAATCTTCTTTACAATAAGAATGATAGTTAGTCATAGTTACAATTATATATATATATATATATATATATATATATATATATATATATATATATATATATATATATATATATATATATATATATATATATATATATATATATATATACATATATGTATATATATATTTAGTTTATCTAAACAGTATAAAATAATGGCTTAGATTTATTAGATAATTCCTAAAATAAATTACCAATCTAGTCTCTGGAGAATTTTCATCCTCAGTTTTTTCTTCTTCTGGAAATTTAGGTCTGTCATCATACAACTCATTATTGCTCTCTTCTAATAAATAATAACCTTCTTCATATTCAATGCCACGAACAGGGTATAGACCGTTCCTAGACATAACATGCAGGTGATGACATGTTAATATAACAATACTTTTAATTTTTAATGCTTAACATACCAAGTAATAAAAGATAAATAGATATCCATTATCATTTAAATTTAGCTAACTAAAATCTGCTTGCAGAAGTTATTGTCACTTTGAATAATAAAAATCTTACTGAGTTACATTAGCAGAATCTACCAATATCATATCGTAGGCCATCATGGTAGCAATCTGCTCATTAGAAAAGTTGTTATCGTTTCCCCACATTGTAAAAAAAAGAACAAGGTTGATGATTGCGATAGTACACTGCTTTCTTCTGCTATAAAATTTCTTGTATTTAAAAAATTGTAAGAACGCCCAGGTTTTTAAGAAAGGTCGCTGTACACGTGTCTAACCAGTTATTCAGGATATTATGACAAGCTTCTTATATATATATAGTGTACACTAAAAACATCATTAAAAGATTTGATTGGTTGATTATTCCGTTAAATAAATACTACGTACAAAACACACGTGTTTTTAAAGTAATATCACGTTTTAAAGTATCACGTTTGAGCAAATTATAATTAAAATAGTCTCATCGTATTGATAATTTTGAATTAGAAAAATTGCAGTTTAAAAATAGTTATAAATTGTAACTAATAACAATGCTGGCTGTAAAAATAGAAATCAAGTTACAAGTTGTCAACATTTGACAAAAATTAGTTATAAAATTTTATGACATTAAAATAAGTCATAAAATGCAATTAACTAAAATATTTTCATAAATTTGACTTTAAAGTAAATTTTTGTTTTGGCAATATAAAAAAAAAATAACTTTTTTATTTGAAAGGTTAAATAAATAAATAAATTTTTAGATGTGACTAAAAAGTTGTTTAAAAAAGTTGTGAAGAAAACTTATATATATATATATATATATATATATATATATATATATATATATATATATATATATATATATATATATATATATATATATATATATATATATATATATATATATATATATACACACATACATAGTAATAATAATATTTTTCTTTAACAATCTAACTAGCTTCCGATTCCGTCCATTTTTGTTTTGATTAATAGTAAACTTACGAGATTAATTTTCTTTGACGTCACATTACAAGACATACTAAGTGTACCAAAACCCAATAATATTGTTTGTTAAGAAACTTGAGTAGGCTTACTTTTGACGGAACTGCAACCATTAAAGTATATATTTACACACCAATAGTATATCCTGGTGATGAAGTCCCACAAGTGAAGCTATTTAAAAAAAAATTAAAAACAGAAAAAATGAATAACATATAAATGCAAAATAAAAAGATTAAACATATATTTAAGTAGTAAAATAAAAAAAGTTATTTTAATTTATTTGAATCTCTATTTTATATATTTGAATATTTATGAAAACATAATATTAATGCGGATTTATTCACGCTTTTTACAACTTGGGGCTTAATAATGGGCGTGTGGCCATGTTTTTTATTTGTTTTGTACTCGTATCTAAAAATAAAACATTCGTCATAATTTGTTTTCATTTACTAGAGTTTTGATATAGAAAGAAAAGGCGAATATTTTGAAGTATCGTACGATGCTTTAAATGTTTTTTCTTTTGTATATTGAATAATATTATTTAGAGAAAACGTGATGTTAGTTCTATTGGTACAAAACCCGTTAGGTTTTGTACCAATAGAATGCATTTTTTAATTAGCCTTATGAGTTAATCTAAAATCATATTTCACACCATTTAAGTAGTGTAGTTTGCATTATATAAGTTTGATGCAATTGTATTTTTAAAAACCAAATAATTATGAAGCATTTAAAAATACGATACACTTTTAAATAAGACTTTTAAAGATACAATAACAGTATAGTTGTCTTACTTGGTTTGAAATAGTTGTCTTACTTGATTTGAAATAGTGTACTATATATAGCGCACTTCTATTAGAGCTAAATTTCTAACTTTTAAGAGTGTAGATCATTACTGAGAGCCATTGTTAAGATTTAAATTGCATAACAATTAATATATTACATAACATATTAATATATTATTATTATTATATAATGTTTAACAGTCATATGTTATTTTTCAATAACATACTTAATAATATATATTATACAAATTGACAACTAGTTGTTTACCGCAATAAACTTTTGAGTATGTCACAAACATTTCAATTTAAAAGATAGAAATAAAAACAAGAAGTAGAAACCTTTACGAATGGATTAGGAAAAATAGTCAGACTATGCGCTCGAAGATCCCATAAAGTAGATATTTCCAAACTTTAAAATCTTATTATTTTTTTTATTTGAATGATATATATAATTATTTAAACATGTTTTGTTGTAAATTAATTAATGCAAATAGTTTTTATTATTATTCTACTTGAAATATTTATGTACAATTTTTAATCGAAGAATTTTTTCTAAGTTCAAAACAAATTAAATGCATTATACACATTAATATAAAAAAAAATTAAAAAAAAAAAAAAACTGTGAAAAATAAGGCCCCCAAACGTTTTAGTTCCTAGGGCTTCAGTTTTCTATAATCCGACACTGTGAAGGGCATTTAATATTATTTGCCACAAAGTGGTTTAGCAATAATCAAGATGTTTCAAAATACTGGTTGTGCATTGTTTATAATAAAATAAAAATAAAGAACCACAGAAGGACACTTGCTCTTTATTTGTATCAAAAATGATTGTGCATTGTTTTAATTCGACGCTGTAAGGAACATTTATAAATTTTTTCCACAACAAAGTAAAGCAATAATAAAGGTGTTTCAAAATAAGGATTGTGTATTGTTTGCAATAAAATTGCGTGTGATTCAGTTGCATGTGATCATATTGTATCTATGATATTTTAAATTCATCATTTTATTTGATCTTCAGAAAATATAGATCTCTAGTCTTACAATAAATAAAGTTTTAAAACTTTATTTATTCTACGACTAGAAATTATGTTCAACTTTTTTTTTATAATATCTGAACGCATTTGTATCTACTTTTGGAACATGAACTCTCTTAACTTCCATAATAACAACAAAACCATACTGTAACTGTATGTTAATGTTGATTGAATAAGGAATAGCAATGCCAATAAAAGTAAAGTAAAAAAAAAATTTTAGAATGCTTTAGTAATTCCAGGTCACCTAAGAAAGTCCCGTTATAATCAATGTCAGCACAGTTTGTTTTTCAAAATAAGGCTCCTAAGAAATAGGTTTAGTTAATTTTTAAAGGTATTGAGTAATATGACAAATCCAATGATTAATAATATTTGATAATAATTAATAGTACCAATGAATAATAGTTAATAATAAATAATAATAATTAATAATAATAGTGAATAATATGAAAAATCCAATGAGTTTGGAAGAGTATTTTATTCAGACGTAATTGCAGAAGAAGAATTTTCTTTTTGCGCACAGTTAGCAATTGCTTGACGCTTTTTTTTCCTAATGACATCAAACATTTACATTCAAACGTTACTTTTCTAAAGACATCAAATATTTTACACGCAAATTTGTTATAAACATACAGTAGCTGTATGTTTGTTTTTGATTGAATAAGAAATAATAACAACAATATAAGTAATTTATAAAAAATGCTTTTGCATTTCCAGGTTAACTAACAAAGCCCCAAATGTCAGCACATTTTTAAGCAAAAGTTCTCTAAAATTAGGTTTAATTTATTTTTAAAGTAATACATTAGATTGGAGTTTGGAAGAGTATACTAGTAAGGTACGACGTAATTGCAGAAGAAGAATTTTCTTTGCGCACAGTTAGCAATTGCTTGACGCTTTTTTCCTAATGACATCAAACATATACATTCAAACGTTACTTTTCTAATGACATCAAATGTTTTACACGCAAATTTGTTATAAACATACAGTAGCTGTATGTTTTTTTTCGATTGAATAAGAAATAATGATAAAAGTATAAGCAATTTATAAAAAATGCTTTTGCATTTCTAGGTCAACTAGCAAAGCCCCAAATGTCAGCACATTTTTAAGCAAAAGTTCCCTGAAAATAGGTCTAGCTTATTTTTAAAGTAATACATTAGATTAGAGTTAGGAAGAGTATACTAGTGTGGTACGACGTAATTGCAGAAGAAGAATTTTCTTTGTGCACAGCAATTGCTTGACGTTGTTTTTCTTATGACATCAGGCATTTGCATTCAAGCGTTACATTTTCTAATCACATCAAATATTTTACACGCAAATAGATACAGCAAATTTGTTTCGTTTCTTTGAAATTTTGCATTCCTTTTAAAATCATTTTAACCAGTTGGAACTCATGTTGAAAACCTGTGAAATCTCGCATTAATTAGTCTAGGGTTAAGGCTTTTTTATGGTAAAGTAGACTTTATTTTTAAACATACGAAACCTGTTTGGAAACCAAAAAAAAAACAAATTAAAAAAAAAAAAAAGAAGTTTAATGGAACTATTAATATCGTATGTAAGTTAAGTTAAATTGTTAAATATTTAATTTTTTAATTCGAAAATTATTTATATCTTTATACGTATTTTTAAAAAATAAATTACAAAGACAAAAATATTTACGATATCATTAATAAATGCTTGACTTTTCTTTTTTTTCTACGATCAATAATTTTTTGTTTATCTTTTTAGTTTATTTTTTCATAAATGAAAAATTTATAACACTAAAAATCAAAATCAACCTAATTTCTTTAAACATGCGTTGACATAAGTACTTTTTAAATATATGAGTTCTTCATTCTGAAAAAATATTGACATTTTCCTTTTGGCAGTTAGCGATCAATCCTTAAATTTTAGTATACAGAGTACAGACACTTGGAAAATATCTAGTAACCCTGCCATGCAAAACCGTGGAAATAAAAGATTTGACTTTTTGTATATGTTTTTATATGTTTATTATATCAATTGTTTTATATTAAAATAGTAAAAACTTTCATACGTTATTCTTTACGATATATAAACGCGTTTATAAATGCAGACAAACACATAAAAAAAAAGATTTCAACTTTTTATAGTTTCAGCAGCCGTATTCACTTCTTTCCGGTAAGCTTAACGGAGCTTTTGTCTGAAGAAATGACGAAAAAATCCATTTAAATTTGTTTAAATAAAACTAATACTAAAATAAAACATTTTTAAAAAGTAATTCTTTTAAAGAAATTTTTTATAAATGTTGTTAAAAAGAAATTATCGAGAAACTGTTAAACTTAACGAAAAGATAAGATACGGCCCCATTAATTTTTCAATTAATTTAGTAGTTTAGACAAATTATTAGACATCTGGTGTTATTTAATTTAATTTATACAAACTTGTATGTCAAAGTTATACAAACTTTGGCATAATTTAAATTAATTTAATGTAATTATCACATTTAATACTATATTTTTAAGTTAACATATCTAAAATACGTAAATTTTGTAAATTTCTTTGATCTAAATTATATTTATTGATTGGTATGAGCTGTTGTATGCCGTCTATAATACACACCAATCAATAAATAAAAAATTTATAAAAAAGAAATTTACAAAATTTACATACTTTTAGATATGTTAATTTAAAAATATGTTATTGAATTTAGGTAATAATTACATTAAATCAACTTAAATTATGTTAAAAAAATTTTAAAATTTGACTGATTAAGTAACGCCAGATGGCTAATAACTTGTCTAAGTTTCTAAATTAGTTGAAAAAAAAATTTAAATTAGTCTCAAATTAAATAACAAGTTATTTGGTAGGGCCGTGTTTTAAAACGCCTTTTAATTTGTATATGTTAGTTATATTGTAGTTTACTCCGTCATTTTATTAGTCCTCATAATAGATTACAAGGTAAAATCGTAAAAAAATAAAAAATAAAAAATAAAAAACATTTTACAAAGATGTTCATTGGACCCGAACAAAAATAACAAACACGATAAAATAAAATTTATTAATGATAAAATAAAATTTATTAATGATTTAAAATTAAAATTTAAGAAAAAAAAAAAAAAATTTATACGAAATAGTCACGAATATCTACTATCAAATTTAATCTTCCATTTTACAAAATGTTTCTAATTTCATCTTTATGTTTGTCTTGTTTATTTTGTTCTGTTAGCAACTTTCCAAATAATTTTTTAATTTTTTTATCAAATTTTTTCAATAAATATTTTTTCGTAAATATTTTGTTTTCATATTGACATAATATATTTCAACAAAAAGATTTTCTAATTAAAAACAGCCAAAAAACCCTCTGGCCAACATTTTAGTCAACTCCAAAAAAAAAAAGAAAT